GTGCGCGCGGCGCCGCCGCCCCGGCCCGTGGGCGCCGCGGGGGACGCGGGGCGCTGGAGCAGGGGGTGCACGGCAGGGCTGGGGTGGCGCGGGGCTCGGGACCCGCGTGCTCGCGGCTCCCGGCAGGGCTGGGGGGGCTGGCCGAGTCCCGCAGCCTGCGGGACTCCCCTGAGCTGCTTTGGAGCCCCTGTTGCCTGGCCGTGCCCTCTGGGGTGCTGGGGGGCCGCCCGGGGTGGGAATCAGCTGGCAGCAGCTGTGCCCGGAGATGCTGGATGCTCCTGGATCACAGCCGAGTGCTGGCACCAGCTGCGCTTGTGATCTCCCTGGGGAGCTCGTGGTCTCTCCGAATGTCTTTGCATTAGGGGGTTGGAGGAGTTTTGGGGCCACTTGTGTGACACCAACCTGTGTCCCTGGCACCCGATGCCTGTGCCTGTGCCATGCAGTGCGGTGTCAGTGCGGGCATGGGCACCAAGTGTGTCAGAGAGCCCCAGCGAAGCAGCCTCAGCCCGGCTGCTGGAGCACAGTCCCAAGGCAGGGTGCAAAGACGGGCCAGCTCTGGGCTGTCCTGGGGCCTSTGGGGACCCCTTCCTGTTCCCGAGCAGCATTTGCCACAAGCCGCTTGGGAAGTGCCATGTCTGTAGCTCCATTCAGTGAGGAGGCTGCTGGAATGTGGAGGAGCATGGAGCTCCCCATGGCACRAGCGCTGCCAGGCAGCGGTGCCGGCAGCTCCTTCAGGAGGGGTTTRGGAGCAACAAGTTCTCACCCTGCTTGGACTTCTGTACCTGAAGGTGCCCTAGCCCCATGCCCAGGTCCCTGTGCCCATCGGGGATGTGGGAACCTGACCTGCAGGCGTTGGAGCTGGGAGTGCCGTGGTCGGGTGGGAGGTACTGGGCTCCTTTGGGCTGCCGGCAGCACAATGGGCATGGGTGGGATGCGAGCATGGCTAGTGCTGGAGGGAACCCGGCTTTGCCACTCGCCTGTCCCCAGGAATTGCCCTGGGAATTGCCTTCAGCAGAGCGGTGTTGTGCCAAGTGCTGGGTGCAAGCGCTTCCATGGAGCAGGCACGGCCCACATGTCTGGCAGAGTCTGGGACACCACAGGAGCTGGGGAGGGTGCTGGGCCGGGCACCCTGAGGCCCTGCTGGTCCCCAGGAAGATCCATGTGGGATGGACTTCTCAGCCCTATCTGGGGGGCTCTCCCTGGCACGGGGGAACAGACCCGAGCTGCTGCTCTCTCCGCAGGGCTGCCGGCACCGCGTCCTCGTGGCCGGGGAAACCGCCACAACAGCTGAACCTCTCCCCGCGCTCGGAGGGAGGCCGCGCTCTGCGGTAGGCACCCGGCGCGGTCCTCCTGCGCGGCGGGATGGGTGTTGGGTGCCAGGGTGCCCGGGTTGCGCTCACCCTCCCGCCTCTCTCTTGCAGCCCCGGCAGGCGCCGCGGCAGGACTAGCATGGGAGAGGCCTTCCCGGGGCATGGGCAGCGCTAAGGAGCCGCGGAGCCTGCAGCAGCTGGGCGGCGTGGCCGGCACCGAGGAGGGCTGCCAGGCCGGTGGCACGGGCTGCGCGCCAGCGGGCGACTGCCCACCCGGGGCCGGCTGCACCGCGCGGCCCCCGGCCATGAGGAACTGCTGCGCCRCCGAGCTGGAGGCCCAGGGCGCCCCGCGGGGCCCCGCGGAGAAGGTGCCGGCGGCTCCCGGGGCACCGCTCGCGGAGCAGAGCCCGGCGCCGGCCGGGAGCTGCGGGACACAGCGCAGCGGCACGGCCCCCGCCTGCGCGCCCGGCGGCCTCGCGGACAAAGCGGCCCCTGAGCCCTGCCTCAAGGCACCGGGCAAGGACGCGGGCAGCGCGGCAGCTCCTGCCAAGCACGTGGCGTTTCGGGAGCCCGATGGAGGAGCCGAGTCGCCCGCCTGCGCCCCGATTGGAGTCCAGGAGCCAGCCCAGGGAGAGGGTCCCCTGGCAGGTGGGACGTCCTCGGCCGCACAGCYGGACCCCCCTGGTGCTGTGGGCAGCGAGACGGGAGCCCCGCGCCAGGGTGGAGCGGAGGGCACGGAGAGCGGCCGCCAGCCCCGGACCACGGCGCTGCTGTGCGAGAGCTACTCGTTCGAGGTGACGCCGCCGCAGGATGCCGGGACGCAGGACATGGGGACACAAGTGGACAGCCGAGCATCCCTGGTGTCGATAGCCTTGAGCCCCATGAGCCCCCCACACGGGGCTGCCGCGTTCACCTTCCCCAAGAGAGAGCCAGGCCCCTCAGCCCCGCAGCCGGTGCCCTCCAAGAAGGACGCGGAGATGCAGGTCTCCATGCCTGTGGAGACCCGCTCGGTGGCCACGGGGCCCATGACGCCCGTAGCGAAGTCCCCGCAGACCTCGTACCCCGAGGTGCAGGTGAAGGGGGCGGTGGAGGAGGCTCCGGAGSCCATCCGGGAGGTGAGCTGGGACGAGAAGGGGATGACGTGGGAGGTGTACGGAGCCTCCATGGAGGTGGAGGTGCTGGGCATGGCCATCCAGAAGCACCTGGAGAAGCAGATCGAGGAGCACGGGCGGCAGCTCGTGATGACCCCGCAGAGCACCCGGGCCAGCTCTGTCAAGGGGGCGCCCCGCAAAGGYGAGGCCAAGAGGCCGCCCGGCGTCTTTCGAGCCCTGCTGCAGAACGTGCGGCGGCCGCGGTGCTGCTCCCGCGCGGGGCCCGCCATGGAGTGAGCRGAGCGGAGCGCCTGGGGCCCCCGGCCTGCGTGGGTGCCCGGGGACACGGCGGCTCCCCGTCTGGGGTGCTGCTGCTGCCCCCGGCATCCGCTCGCGGGCCTTGTCGTCCCCGCGTGCCCGTGGCCAGCGCGCTCGGCTGGAGCACTGCACACCGGGACGAGGCCTCTGTGTCTCCAGGGTGGGAGCAGCCCAGGGCCCCCCCGACCCGGGCCCCTGCACCCCCACGGGAGGGCCTGGCTGCCTGGGACACCCCGGGACAGCCCAGCTCTCCCCTGGTACCATGCTCCGCACAGAGCAGGGCGGCATTCCTCCCCGGAGCACGGGGAAGCACCCCGCTGAGGGCAGCTCCTGGGACAGTCTCCTGCCTCTGGCACGGGGCCAGGGCAGCGGGCAGGTTGCTGGTGTCCCCCGCAGCTTTGGCCTCACTCGTGGCCCGGGCAGGAGCTCTGCTCCCCGTCCTGCAGRGGACGGGTGCCAGGCACTGCCAGCTCCGCGTGGCCCCGAGCACTCGGACTTCTCCCGGCTGCTGCAGCCCTCCTGGGCCACGGCTGCGCGCGGGGCACTGCCCTGTCCCCAGGCCCTGCCACAGCCCCAAGAGCTCTGCCCAGGCCCTGCGCCCCGCTGTCGTGCTGTCCCCAAGCCGTGGGCGCCTGGTGGGCAGAGGATGTGGCCCTGCAGTGCCCACAGGGCAGCCCGGGCGTCCCTCTGCATCACGTTTGCTTGGAGGGACCCTGGGGACAACTGCAACACGGCGCTCGTGCGTGGGAACGTGGCTTGTCCCCGTCATTGTGGGTGTGAGGGGTGTTGGGGCCACCCCTGCGGTCCCCTCTGCGGGGACCTGTCCGTGTGTCCCACACAGGCGCAGGGCAGGTCCTCGCTGGGACATCACCTGCAGCCTGGCCACGTGCCCGGGGCCTGCGTGGAGCCGCTCGCCCTCCCGGCCGAGGTGTCACAYGGCGACTTGTCACCCCGGCCGCTCCATGTGCGCAGAGGGGCAGCCTCGTGCGGTGACCACGGCCTGCACGGCCCCTGTCCCGCTCGCTGCTCCCCTGGGACAGGGGCCGGCCGCGCTGGCTGCGAAACGCTGCCACTTTTTACAGCTGGGGTTTTACAGGGAAGGGGGGCGGGGGGCTTTTATTGAACCGTGTTTGCATTTTTTGAGCTTTTTAAGAGACACTTTCAGCTGTGTGTGTCCTGCCTGAGGCCACCTCCTCCCCTGCGGCCTCTTTGGAAACGCTTTTCCTCTGTTCCCTGTGCCCTGCCAGCCTGGCACTGTGCAGGGAGCACCGCGCTGGCCCTGGGGCGGCAGGCGGGCGAATGTCCCCGCTCCGGGTGCCGCTCCAGCGCTCCTGCCCGGAGCACAGCCGGCCGCTGCCTCCCTCCTGCAGCCCGTCCTGCGCAGAGGAGCAGGAGCTGGAGTGCAGAGGGGAGCCCAGGGCGGGAACCAGCTCCCCTTGCCCCTTGGGGATGCAGCAGCCTGGCCCGGTGCCAGCTGCAGGGGGACCAGCAGGGCAGGGGTCAGCGGGCGCAGTGGGGGGTTGGTGTCACCATAGGGGTCAGGGTCTCTGGTGGCTCCGGAAGGATGTGGCTCCTGAGCTGCAGGATGGAGGTGTGGARGGCTCGGGCAGCCACCCTGCCCGTGCTGGGCAAGGCTGCCCCCCACGCTCGCCCTGTGYGCCCCAGCTCTGCCCGGGCTGCAGGAACCGCCCCGGGCCGCGTCTCGCCCTGGGCAGGCTGCCAAGGGTCTTATCAAGCAGCAGCCCGTGGTGCGGTGCCTACCCGTGTGCTGTGGTGCCCGCGGCTGCCTGGAGCCCTGCCACAAGGGCACGGGGGCCTTTCCTTACCCTCCCGTCCCACACCGGCTGCTGCGGTGCCAACCCGCGGCACACAGGCACAGTGAATTTACCACCTACTTTCTTCTTTTTCCTTCTTCTTTTCTTTTTCTGGTGGGGGGAGGAGGGTGGYGTGGGGGTGACTAAACGTGTCGACGTGGATGTTGGGTAATAAAACCTTGCACAAAACCTCTGCCCGGCGCTGCCTGCACCTCCTGCAATCCTCCCTCTGGCTCCAGCGTGGGCCCTTGCCCATCAGAAGAGAGGGCAGCACGTGTGACGTGGCCAGGACCAGCCCGTGGGGCTCTGCCTGGGCCCCGTGCCGGCAGCCCCCCAGCACATGGGCTGACGGGGGCTGTGACTCAGGGRGGACAGGTTTATTGTCGACAGCCGAGGGTCCTGCCACCAAAGYGACCGCCCGAGTCCCGCTCTGGCCCTGCCGCCGTCCGCGCGCCCGCTCACAGGTCCGTGGTGGTGAAGGCGTTGTTGATGAACGCCACTTTGCTGGGCTCCTTCAGGTGCAGGGCAGCCACCAGCGCCTCGTCACTGGCCGTGTCCACGGGCCACGCTTTGCCCTTTTGGGGGAAGAGAGCGCAGCTGGAGGAGGGGACGGGGACAGAGACATTGGCCCCTGCCCTCCCAAGAGCTGGCAGTTGTTAAATGGATGGAGACAAGAGGACACCGTGGGTCTAGGTGCCCAGGGCTGCAGCAGAAAGGCACCGTGCTGGGCAGGACTCCCTGCCAGGTAGCAGCAGCTCTTTGCTCACTCACCTTGGCCTTGGGGATACTGTCCCCAGGTACATCTACTGTGTTTTCATCCAGTGAATTCATGCTGAGGAGAACCGGAGGACAGGGGTTAGAAGAGGGCCCAGGCAGAGCCAAGATGCAGAGCGACGGCATTTRGGACCTGAGCAGGGAGCTCACCTGGCCACAGAGCAGGAGTCTTCGTGGAAGCCCAAATCATGGGAGGGATTGAAGGAGAGGTTGAGCACGGGATTTGCCCTGGAGAGAGGGGGGTGGYGGGTGAGTGACACAGCCCTGGGCCGCTGTGTCCCCCAGGCAGGGGTTGTGACAGCGAGTGCTGCTGGTCGCAGCGCGTGGCTGCGCGGAGGCACCAGGGCTCTCCCCTCCCGAGGAGGGAGGGCACTCACCCCTCGGTGTTGTACTGGTTGGTCCCGGGGATGCCGGGGCCCTGCTGCACCATGGCAGGCGTGAGCGTCGTGGCCGCCTTCAGAGCCTTCATCGCGTTCAGCTTCCTCTTGAAGCTGCAAAGCCCAGGGACAGAGYGGGTGAGAAGGGCAGTGTTGGAGCCAGAGCACTGGGCTGTGCGTGGGCAGGAGGGAGACGAGGGCTGGGGTCTGTAGGGGTGGCCATCAAGGGCGAGGGCAGTGGTGAYGCCAGAGGAGGCAGGACAAGGTGCAGGCTGTGCGCTACCTCCTGGTGGTGAGAGCCAAGGCTAGAATCATGATGAGGATGAAGAGGAGCAAGAAGGCTGCCAGCCCTGCGATGACACCAATCAGCTCCTTCTCTTTGTCAGGCTTCGTCACCTCGCCAGGGCCCTGGCACAGAGCAGACRTGAGGGTGCAGCCCCTGGGCATCAGGCCCTGTGGCTCAGCATGGGGTTGTCACCCTCCCCTCGTGTCCCCTGCCCTGCCTCACTCACAATGACAGCCAGGCCGAGGTTCACCAGCTGCGTCAGGACATGCGGGTCGCTCTGTATGAGCCTGCCGAGGCCAAGCAGAGAGGTGAGGTGGCAGGGCCAGGCTGGGGGAGCGGGTGCTGCCCACGGGCCCCTCCCCGGGCACTCACATGCTCAGCTGGTTGACGTCCAGTGCGGTGCCGTTGCTGTACACAAAATACACCTCCAGCACAGACCTGACTTCAGCCCTGCAGCGGCGAGGAGCATGGGGTGAGCACGGTGTCAGGGAGCCAAACCCATCCCCAGGATGCCACCACAATGTCCCTTCTTCATCGTCCCCTCCCTCCACACCTGCAGGTCCAGGTGACCCTGCACCAGGGCTGACTTACCGGGCGGCACGGGAGGCGCGGGCATCGTCCTGGCTCTGGATGGACACCACGTAGACCCGTGCCTTGGTGGCCATGGTCAGCACCCTAGGAGCAGCGGGGACACAGGGAGCCCGGGCTGAGGGTCCTGCTGCTCTGCTTGCAGGCACGGGGAGCAGACAGCTCCAGCTCCAGCGCGGGTGCCCTCCCCAGGCCACCACCTGCCCAGTCTCCTTGACACCCAGGGAGGATGGAGGAGACCTGTGCTGTGGGTCCCAGCCCCATAACGCAGCCCACCGTGCCTCCAGAGGGCTGGGTGAAGGGGGAGCTCCCTGCACCCCATGTGCCTGTGTGTCCCTCCCAGTGCACGGGGTACCTGGCATCCCCCCCACACAGCACAGCCTCCCCACCGCAGACCCCTTACAGTTTGATATTGTCCAGGTTACTCTGCACTTCATCCACCGGGGTCACGAACTGCAGGCGAACTAGGTAGCTGTTATCCACCGTGAAGATCTGCGTGGAGAGAGCAGGGCTGAGCAGGGCTGGCTGGCACGCAGGGCATTGCCGGGCAGGGTGACACTCACGTCCAGCACCGTCTGCGTCGTGTGCACCGGTGCCTCGCCGTCCTTGGCCTCCACCGTCACCTTGTACCGCCCCTTCAGCGACCTATCGAGGTTGCTGGCCACCCTGGGACAACAGGGACATCAGCAATCCCACTGGGCTGCGCAGAACATCCCCAGGCCCTGCTGCCCTCTGAGCTCCATCCCACCGCTGTGCCCTWGACAGGGCCCCTTGGCCCCTGGGCCTGGCAGGAGCCGAGCTGCACAGGGACAGAGCCAGCCCCATTCCCCTCCACCCTGGCCCAGACCCACGGCGTTACTGGATGCTCCCGACGTAGGTGTCCTGCTCGGCTGTGGTCACCACCTTGAAGAGGTTCTCGAAGGTCTGGCTGTTGCCGTTGTCCTGCACGAACACCACGCTGACGATGGAGAAGGAGATAGTTCCTCTGGGGCCTGAGTCRGCGTCCTTGGCCTGTGGGCACAGAGCACGGGTGGGAATGGTCCCCTGCCTGCCCAGGGCAGAGAGGATGAGGCCAAACATGCGTATGGACAGAGGCACACACAGCTCCTCACCTTCACCACAGCCACTTGTAGGTCCACAGGAGAGACGTCAGGGACAACCACTGCCATGGACAGATCAATAGACAGTGAGACCATGCTCGTGTGCAGCCAGGCTTGCTGCAGACCCCCACACCCCAGCGCTCAGAGATGGCAGAGCTCTGAGCATCCCAGCTCTGCTTTGGCCTTGGGGAGGCAGCCACGGCCCTCACAATCCCACGCTAATCCCCTCATACCTCCTAGCCCTGCCCTGGTCCCCTGCTTCTAGCAGTGGCTGGAAGTGCAACAGGAGGGGAGCAGCTTTGGGGGATGGTCCGTGCTGCTCGGAGCAAGGCASAGTGCCTTGTGCCACCGTGCACACGGAGGCAGGAGCACAGGACACAGCACCCRGGGTCCCGGCTGCTCACCAAATATCTCGGAGGAGGGCAGGAAAACCGGCGCGTTGTCATTCACATCAGTGATGAGGATCCTCAGGCTTTCTGCAGAGGCCCCAGAGCTCTGGTCACCGACTGCATTCCTACAGTGACCTCCTCCACACCTCCCTCCACAGACAGGAGCCCCTTCCTCTTGCCRTAGGGACCAAAAGAGCCGAGACGCCCTCTCCCAACCCCCAAAGTGGCCACCCTGCCCTTCCCAGCCCCTCCTGGGGGCTGTGCCCTGGTTGGGTGGTGGGAGAGGGGCGAGGGCCCTGTACCGTTCCGGCTGTAGCGGTTGCCCTTCTCGGTGTTGACGTCTTCAACCCGCAGCGTGAGCACCACCACGTCACACAGCTCGTAGTCGATGTCCGAGCTGTTTACCACCACCGAGCCATTGGGTGCCAGCACAAACCAGTCCCAGCACACGTCCCCAACACTGCTCGTCCCCTTGAAGCAGGAGACTTCCAGCTCTTCAAAGACCAGCAAGTGGTTGGTGTCCGGGTCAGAGGCCACCACGGTGCAGACGAGGCCCTCCTGGGTGCTGTTCTCGCTCACGCTCACGTCTTGCAGAGAGGCGGGCAGGATGGTGGGGGGCTCATCATTGACGTCAAGGACATTGACCACCACTGAGGCATTAGCGGTGTCCCCCACACTGTCCGCCGCTGTGTTCTCTGCCAGCACCACCAGGGAGAAGAACTTCTGCTGCAAGGTGTCATAGTCCAGGGACACRTCAGGGTCCAGGAGCAGCCGACCGCTGTAGTGCCCTGGCCCCAGGCGGGATGAGCGGATTAGGAAGTTGCTGGAGCCGCTGCCACTTTGCAGCAGGAAGGAAATGCGGGAATTGATGTCCGTCCGGTCAGCATCTGTGGCTTCCACATTGCCCACRAAGGACCCTACAGACACACACAGACGCTTACCCAGTGATCAGTAGGCACCAACCCCATGTCCCCATATGTGCCACAGACCTGGCAATTGGCTCATACCTGCAGATCCTTCCGAGACCGAGAACTCATAGGATTGGTTGAGGAACACAGGCACATTGTCATTCACGTCCTGTGGGTAACAAATGCTATGGGCACAGCTGTTTTTGGAGGCAAGGGRTCCCACAGCAGGCTGAGGGACAGGAGCACAGACCCCTGCCTTCCTGCAGGCAGGAGGTACAAAAGCTCTTTACTGTCTCCCTGTCTCAACCATTCTCTCCGTCCCCAAAGAGGGCTTGGGGACATGGAATCTTTGCCAGAGCCAGGGACCCCACATGTCTTCCCTTCATTGTGCATCAGTTTGGTCACAGTCCCCAGCCCGCAGCTGCCTGCTGGTGCCCAGGACTCACCCCCACAGTGATGGTGACGTTGACGTAGGAACTTTGCTGTGGYGTGCCCAGGTCGTACACCTCCACCGTCACCACCATCTGCCCACGATCATCATCCAAAGCCTCGCGGTCCAGCGGCCCCTTGTTCTGCATCAACCCCTCGACCGCTTCAATGGTGAAGTTGTCACTGAATGGCCCTGGCAAGATCTTGTAGCGCAACTCACTGTTGGGGGTGTTGGGCTCATCATTGTCCACGGCCTGAAGAGAGACAGCCAGGAAGGTCAGAGAGGAGGGCCTGGGCTGTTTGGCACCTCTGGGACCGGTTGTCTCTTCTGCAACAGTCAYCAGGTCATCCTTTCCAGCCCAGGCCTCACGTACCAGGATCTGCACGCTGACATTCTGCCCCTCATTCACAGAGATGAAATAGGAGCCAGTGATGATGGGAGCGTTGTCGTTGGCATCCAGCACGGTGATCTCCAGCAGCGTGGAGCCTGTCAGGTTTCCCCCGTCCTTGGCCTGCAGGTTGGCGTAATAGAAGGAGCGAGTCTCGCGGTCCAGCCAGCTCCCGTTGYGCACCAGCACAGCGCCGGTCGTGGCGTTCACAGCGAAGACTTCCCGGCTGCAGCACGTACAGACCCATCACARGGGATCCGGGCTGTAGGCAGCCCCGCAGCCCCCACGCAGGCCGATGCCCCATTGGGGCTGCCTGTGACCCTACGCACATGCTCTCCGGGAGGAGCTGGTAGGTGATCTGGCCCAGGATACCACTATCCGGATCATAGGCCTAAAAGGGAGAGATAGGGAAGTATCAGGCGTATCTGCCTCAGCCCCTAGGACASTGAGGAATCCAGAGGAGATCTGCTGCTTGGAGCTGGCACCCCAAAAACAGACACGGGGACCCTCACTCTGAGTGCCTGCTGGCACCATCTCCTTCGCATGTGCACAAGGAAACGGGGGCCCCTGTGTCACCCAGCACCAGCAGGCAGAGCCTGGGGGATGTGGATCGCGCCTGTTCCCTGCCCAGCATCTGACCGTGATGCCTGGGGAGATGACGGTGCCATCGGCGCTGTTCTCCGTCACGTTCAGGTAGTAGACGCTCTGGGGGAACTCGGGGATGTGGTCATTGCTGTCAATGAGGTTGATGGTCACAGTAGCTGTGGAGCAGCAGTCGGTGGGGTTGCCTGTGTCATTAGCAACAATCTGCAGCGTAGAGAAGAGATGGTCTCATGTACAGGTCCCCAAGGGCATAAAATAAGACCCGTTACACTCTGGACCAGCTCCCCTGAAGCAAACAAGCTTCCAGGCAGAGTCACATTCTGCCTTTTCCTCTGTTCCCTGCTGGGGAAGAGTCATGTCCCCCTGTCCCTGCGGCATGGGCAGGGAAAGGGACCTGTTCCCTGTGGTAAGGCAGCCCTGCAGTCCTACCTGCACCACCATGACATGGCTTATTTCGTAGTCCACAGACAGCGAGTCTTTCACCAGGATCTGGACTTCCCCTGTGCCCACAATCTTCRTGGGGGACACAGAGAAGGCGCTGGCATTTGCACCTTGCAGATACAGCTCAAAACTGCTGTTGATGCCCTGCCAGGGAAAGATGTGCAGAAGTGAGGGCTTGGCCGAGTGCCCCTGAGACCCTGCCGGCAGCCCAGCCCCGAGGAGGAGCTCCCAACCTCGTCAGCGTCATGTGCAACGATGTCGAGGYCGGACACAGCCAGGTTCGAGGAGGAGTGCTCCACAATGCTGCCCGTGAAGGTGTTCTGGGCATCAGCAGAGAAGTTGCAGCTGGAGAGGGAACAGAGGTAGAAATGGGGCTTGTTGTCATTCACATCGGTCACCGTGACTGTCACCTCGGTGCTGATGTTGGCCACTTTGCCGTAGATGTCCAGGTTCTTCTCCCGTGCCTGCACAGGAGGGGAAGAGAGGGTCAGATGGGCCCAGGGGGAAGAAGAGGATGGGGCTTCCCTGGCTGCTTCTTACTCACCACGACTTCCAGCTGCAGCACTTCATCTGGCAGTTGTTCCCGGTCCAGGAAGCCAGTCACAGTGATGCTGCCCGTCGTGTCATTGATAGCAAAAGGAACATTGGAATCTGGGGCAACAGGACAGAGGGAAGCAGCTACTGGGAAACAGCCCTGGCCATGCCCACCAGCGGCACAAACCAGTAGCTCCTGTGAGTCACTAGTCCCCACGGTGCCCCTCCTGTCCCTGTCCCATCATGTGCCACCCTTCACTCACTGGTGATGCTGTACAAGATGTCATCGTTCACCCCCGTGTCCCTGTCGATGGCAGTGACGGTCAGCACGGTGGTGCCCTGCAGGGACGCAGCCACGAGGGCAGGCGGTCAGCGAGGTGGTGCCTCGGCTGCACCCCAGCCTGGTGGCACGGACCCCGCCGCCGGGGCCGGCTGGCTTCTCACCAGAGGGCAGTTCTCTGGCACGGAGCCCGCGTAGGGCTCGTTGAGGAAGCGCGGCTCGAGGTTGGGCAGGTCGCGGACGGTCACAGACAAGTAGGTGACGCTCTGCTGGAAGGTGAGCGCCCCGTGCAGCAGCCCCCCGCCGTCCTGCAAGCACAGAGCCCGTCAGCCCCGCAGCAGCGCCTTCCCCCGCCAGCCCCCGGCCCCGCCAGCCCCACCTTGGCAACGATCTTGATCTGGTAGAAGGTGCTCAGGGCATAGTCCAGCGAGCCGTTGAGCACAACGCTGCCGTTGGGCAGGACGTAGAAGAGCCAATGATTCTTGGCGTTGTCGGGGATCACCTGGGTGTGGATYGGCACCGTGCGTCACCGGAGCAGAGGCGCCCAGCAGAGATGGGGACACAACCCGCATCCCTCTGCCCTGCTTGGCCCACATTGAGCCCCCAGGCTGTGGGGACACTCGCAGCATGAGGGGTTCCCTGCTTGCAACCCTGCTGGGCAGCAGCTAGTGGGTGGCACCCGTTCTTTGGAGGRGCAGAACCAGCCCCGACCACTGCTCCATGGGCTACCCCCAGCCAGTGCCCACTCCTTGCCCATGGGGATGGCATGTGGTAGTTCCGGATGCGGCGTCCCCGCTGCGTGACACACTGCTGCTCTCTAGCGGGCATGGCCCCTCTCGGTGACAGGAGACGGGCTCGCCATGGCCCGCGTGGCCGGGACAAGCCGAGTCTTGGCACTGAGGCAGAAATCTTGCAGGGGAGCRGGGCAGCGGCCCCCGGGGCCCGGCACCCTCCCGGCCCAGCACGCTGCAGCCCACGGCCAGGACGATGATGGGGCACCCTGGTGCTCACCTCCTCGATGTTGTAGCTGACCTTGGAGGCATTCCCGGTGTCACTGTCGTTGGCAAACACAGCGTAGATGATGCTGCCAGGCGTCACATTCTGGGGACACAGGGCAAGTGGTGGTAGCGTCGACCAGAAGAGCAGGGGAAATGCTGAGCCGGACCCTGCCAGCCATGGGCTGCACAGGGCTGAGCTCCCACCCTTGCTCAAGCTGGGCAGGGGGCTTGATCCAGGACCCCCCCAATCACCATGGGGCTCCCCAGGGACAGGGGCTGCGAACTGGCCTGGGGCGGGGGACGTGGGAAGCTCAGGCTCAGCCCCACAGCCCGTCTACTCCCCAAACCACCCCTCACCGTGGCCTGGGCACAGAGGCGGCTCAGGTGCTCCCTGATCTCTAGCTCACACCAAGGGCAGAGTCCTGGCCCTTTGCCAGTGCCCAGGACTGGCACGGAGCTACCCGCCTAGGCACAGCCCTGCCGCCAAGGTCAGACCTTCCCCGGTGCACAGCCTCCCCGCTCCCACGTGCACCATGACCCTTCCCGGCGCATCATTGCCCTTCCCGGCACACCACGGTCCTGCCCTGTCACACGCACAACCTGCTGCTGCAGGGAGCTACCTCGGGGACAGTGGTTTCATACGGCAGGTTGTGGAAGACAGGGGCGTTGTCATTCCGGTCCTCCACGATGACAGCGAGCTTTTTGGAGACCTACCGGGAGCAGTGGGCGTCAGTGACAGTGCAGGGAGACGGGGTGCCCAGGGGAGCTGGGTGATGCTCCAGCGCCCCACGTCCCCACCTGCGGCACATCCTTCGCCGCTGATCCTTGCCAGCACCGAGCCCCCACGTGCCCCCCAGACCCTGCCCCGTGCCCCTACCCCGCCACGCTGGCACTCACTGGGTCGTTCTGCCCGTCGGACACGGTGATGGTGAGYGTGAGCCTGGCCTGGGACTGYGGGGAGACAGAGCAGGGCTCAGCCMCAGGCCAGCGCTGACGCCTGRGGGTGCTGCTCCCCCCAGGCCAGCGTCCCCCCGAGCCGGGCTTTGGGACCAGGGAGCCGGGGAAACTCCCTGGCTCCCTGCCTGGCGCTGTGGTCCCGGCCACGCACCTGCCTGTGCCCCCGTGGGCTGCAGGAGCCCAGGGCGGCGCAGGAACGTGCGGCACTCGCAGCGCTGCGGAGCCCGTCCGCACCCRCAGCACCCGCTCGGGGCCGGCGCTCAGTGCTCACCTCGCGGTCCAGGAGGTTCTTGAGAAACACTCGGCCCGTGTCCGCTTCGACGTTGAAGTAGAAGGACTCCGGCCCGCTGATGCCGTAGGTGAGCGGGTCCCCGTCCACGTCAAAAGCCYGCAGCTGGAAAGCCTCCTGGCCTGGGGACAAGCAGTGTCAGTGCCACGCAGGGCGCCCGGGCAGGGGGGACAGCCAGGCGCTCCCCRTGCTGCCGGGCAGGCTGCGGCCGCCTCACTCACCGATCTCCAGGTCCTCGGGCACGTACACGATGCTCATGTTGAAGTAGGGCGCCGTGTTGCCTGCGACTGCAGCGAGGACACGCGCTGAGCACTGCCCTGAGCTGGCATCTGCCCCAAGCCCTGCGCCCTGGCGCTCAGCAGAGCCTGCCCAGCTCCGGCACTCCGCTCCTGGAGCCGCTCTGAGCCCCAGGGCTGCTCTGAACCCTCCGCCTGCTTTTTGTCACCCTCTGTCCTTGTGTCATTCCCTTGTCCCGGATCCCAGYCCTCCCTGCTCCCTGGGATGGGATAGCCAGGGGGTCCCCAACACCAGCGCCAGGGGGGTGGGCCGCTACTTTGGGAGTCCCTGCTGCCCTCATGAAACGAGAATGAGAAGCTGGGCCCTCCAGCACTTCCCGCACTTCCACCCGCCCTTGCCAGCTGCRGAGCAAAGTCCTCACCCGCGGGCAGGAGGAAGGGGAAGAGCACCAGTGCGCGCCATGCCATCCTGCCGGGCGCCTGTGGGCACGGCTCGCTGCGTCCCAGGCCTCCGGGCCTCTCCAGCYGCCGAGCGCTGCCCTTCCCGGCAAGCAGCCCCCCGGGCGGGGGTCTCCGTGCGGGACGGTCCCCTCTGCGGAGCCGCGCGGGGCCGAGCGTGTCGGGACGCCAGATGCCGGGCTCCGTCCTGTCCCGGAGGCAGCGTGTGGGACAAGCGGCTCCCCTGCAGCGCACCGCGAGCCCCGGGCAGCCCCCGGACACAGCCCATCCCGCGAGCCCCGGGGGCTCCATTCGCTGGGGCCACGGCCGTCCCAGCGAGGAGCTGCCCGGGCAGAGCCACACGGGAGTCCCCCAGGCACCGGCAATGCCAGGGCCACCCCTGTCCCCACATTTGAGAGCCTGGGTGGGACTGCCATGGGGTGCAGCCACCCAAGCGGGTGTTTGGGGCCACAGGACCCTCCCCAGGTGCTGCCTCCATCACCCCTGGCTTAATGGGGCCACCCCAGCTGGTGCTTGAAGCTGCATTACAGGTGCAAGCGGTAACGTGGCTGCCCTGCCTCGGCACCCGGCACCCACTGCCTCCCGCTGCCGCTGCTCCCGGGGCCRGTGCCCCTAACCTGCGTCCGGCTCCCGGTGCCCCTTACCTGCGGCYGGCTCCGCGGGGATGCTGCCGGCGGCTGCCCGTGCCCACACCCGGCTCCGTGCAGACCTTTGCCTTCTGCGCTAAGCAGCTTCATCAATCATTAACTGGAATTAAAATGTGAGAAATCCATCTCTCACCTTCCTCCTTCCTCCAGCTCATCTCCCGCCTCCCAGGGATGCCAGGTCCTGTGCTTGCTTCCTGGTGCTCCCCATGCCGGTGCCATCCCCGTGGYTCCCATAGGTGCCAGGATCACAGCAGGGCCCAGGGCTGTGTGGAGGGGCCCTGAGCTGCGCAGAACGGAGGGAGCTGCCCTCCCAGTAGGGCTGAGGGTGCAGGGAATGGATTCCCTGAGGAGGTGTCGTGAGGACACCCAGCTGCCGCTGGGGCAGCGGGTGGRCACTGACCCCATGGAGCAGCCGCTGGGGTGGGAGCCCCGGGCTCTGTGTCCCCACGTGGCGGCTCCCTGCTCCGTGGGGCGGCTGAGGGCTCAGCCCAGCCTCGCTGACCTACTTGGGGCCGTGGGGACAAGGGTGGATTGTGCAGCTCCGCTCAGGCAGAAGGGGGACGGGAGGCGGGGGGAGCGCCCTGCCAGCCCCGGCCCTGCAGCCCCTGCTCTGGGCTGTCCGGGCCCCCATCCCCTTTAACTGGAGGCCCCTGGGGAGCACTGGGCACCTCTGCAGGGTGCAGCTGGGAGGGCACCGGGGTCCTCCAGGGCACCCATCCCAGCAGGTCCCTGACCCCCTGCAGGTCCCTGACCTCCACACCGGGGTGTCGGGCAGCAGGGCTGATCCAGAACACCCCAAATCGCCCCGGGACCCCCCAGCAGAGCCACCGGGGCTGCCCCGGCACCCCTTACCCGCGGGACTGGGCGTGCGCTGCCACTCGGAGCACTACGGCGCAGAGCGCGATTTCGGCGGCGCCGCTCTTGGGCGCAGTAGGGCAGCGTTGGGGAGGGCGGGCGCGCCCATTGTGGCGGGGGCCGCTGGCGGCGCGGCCGGGTCCATCGGCGGCGGCGGGGGCGCCGCGAGGCGGGGCTGAGGCCGGGCCGAGGCCGGAGCGGCGGCGGCGGCTGCAGGAGGAGGGACGCGGAGCCCGGCGGCCGCGCCATGAGAGCGGGCTGAGCCGCGGGCAGCGCCGCGGAGGCACCGAGCGCCCTTGGCGCGAACGGGCAGCGGCGGGGGCGGCGCCTCCGGTAGGTGCGGGAGCGGCGGGGAAAGCGGCGCAGGGGGCCCCGGTGCAGGGCGGGGGGG